CCACATTGAATTTGTACTTGCTATGCTCAGATATGTGGCCTTGTTTCTGGAAGGAATTACCTATTTTTTGTTTGTTTGTTTGTTTGTTTTGTTTGGGACGTCTGTGCCAGGGCTTAGTAATTTTTTTTTTCTAAAAAGGGCCAGATAGTAGAAAGTATTCTTGACTTTGTGGGCCATGTGGTCCCTATCTCATCCTCTCAGTTCTGTTTGTAACATGAAGGCAGCTGTAGACAGTATGCTAGCAAGAGTAAAACTTTCTCTCCTGAAACAGGAGGGAGGCAGGCCAGAGCCACTGCCCCAAGGCTGCGTGGGGTGGGGGTTGTGGCTGCTCTCACTGGTGAAGCTTTTCCTGTGACACCGTAGGCCATGTATGATGTTGGGTTTGGGGCCCAGTGAAAGTTCCAGGGACAAAATCCACAAATACTCTTGAGAACTGAGCAGAGTGGTTGGTTTGCTAGTCACTGAAGTGCATATCTTCTTGTAGTTCTGACAGTGCCCTTCAATTAGAGGTCACAGGAGCACACCTATGGCTGAACAAACTGGGTTTGTGCCTCAACGCAGAGAGCAGGAACCCACTCCATGGGAACCATAGGGCATCTCTGTAGAAGGGACTGGAAAGAGCCCATCACGGGATGCAGGTTTTAATTAGGTGGCTTGGGGAGGCCCTAAGGATGTGAGATTTTGTTCTAGATTGGGTGCTATCAGAAAGTAGGGACAATTCTATGATTGGGTGTCTCAATAAATCTTTTCTGGAGGAAGGAACATTGCATGAAGATGAGCTATAATTGGTCAAGGAGTGTACTCACACATTTTGGCCAAGCGAAGGAAGAGTTGGTATTTAGTGGGTGACCTGTGAGCTCAGATAACACTGCAATGGCCTCATTTGTCTCACCTCATCCTGCTCACAGAGCATCTTGTCTGGGGTGTGTCCTGGGAGGTTTTAGGTCTGATGGGAGGACAACAGGGCCCACCTGTGCATGCTGTAGCTTCTACCAGGAGCCATTCTAATGGTTCAAAAAACTGTGCATTCACTGATTTATCCCTGGGGTGGATTTTTGGGCCTGTCATTTTCTGATCACTCAGATCCAGCAGGGAACAGCAGCCACCCCAGAGCACATGAGGCTGCCTGGTCGGATGAAGGCTGACTGTGGACGGAGAGGCTGGGGTTGACTATGGAGGGAGAAGCCAGGCCATGTGGTCTCTCTCCAATACTGCCCCCTGTGCCTGCTCAGCTCATGGGATGCAGATTCACAGAGTGCACAAGAGTGGAGGTTAATGAGAATGACGGCGTGGCCACAATGCTAATGAGCATTCTGCCCTTCCTTTCTCAATAGATGTGAACGAGTGCCTCCATGATGAGCTCAGTACCTGCTCTGGAAGGGAGCTGTGCGTGAACATGGAGGGCTCACATCGCTGTACCCACAGCCAGGAGCTGCCTACATTGTCTCCTCAGAGGCTGAACCACACGCATGAAGGTATGACTGGGCTCATCCCCACGGCACAGGATGGCCTAAGGAACCCTCAAAGTAGGTGGCCTGTGGACCACAGACTCTTCTTTTCCTGCCAGGAGGGGACAGCTGCCTCACGGGTGCACAATAGTCGCTTAGTTCTTTCACCCAACCTTGATCTCATAGTTGGCAATCCTTGGGTATAATTTTATAGTATTTTTAACATTTACTCATTTACTTATTCATTAGAGAGAAAGAAAGAGAAAGAGAAAGGGAGGGAGACAGGCACCTCAATGGGGTCCTCATGCGCAGATCCACCCTCAGTCTCAGCCAGCCCTGAGTCATGGGCATACTTATGCATGGGTGTGTGCAGGGAAATTTTGTGATGTGAACCCAGAACCTCTCCCATGTGAGAACAGTTGCATCACCACTCGGCCCTATTGTCCTTTGATTTCATACATGTTTATGTGTCACTTCCTGTGCTGGATGCTGATAATAGAAGCATGCACACATAGATCATAATATTGCTTTCATAATTTAAATCGGAGACCTTTGGAAAGTGAATGAGGCATGATTAATGTTTACACTGAAACCACAGAGGTAGCTGGGACTGTTGCTGGCATTTTTTTGACCACCTAGGTGGCATGCGTATGTGTATGGGCCACCTAGATGGCATAGGTGCCAGTGAAAACACCAAGAAGGGGGTGCCTGACTCTGCTCCACTTAGGAGTGGAGGGGAGGGAGATGGGGGTGCCAGATGTAAGAATGCTGGTCTATAAGATTGGGTTCTGCCATTAAGGGGTGCATGGTAAGAAATAACTGTGTGATTTGAAATTTAGGGAAGTTCTGTGAGGATGATACACAGTGTAGGAGTCTGGGGTGGTAGAAGGTGAGGGAGAATGGTGGAGTCTAGTGCCATATTTGAGATGGAATCTTTAGGACTTACTGGTGACATAGATGCAGACTGGGAAGAGGAAAATAAGGCAGAATCCAACTGAATAGGTGGTGGTTCCATTGAAGGAGATGGGGAAGACCAGGGGTGCACTGACAATTTTTGCCACAATAGTTGAAGCTGAGATGGAGCTGGAATTAGGTGGGGAAGACAGGGAGCTGAGCTGGCTATTTGGTGCTGGAGCACGGGGATGAGGGTTAGGCAGAGGTGTGAATCTGAGGTCAGCAGCATTAGGTAGCATTTAAACCAGGATATGGTTGAAAAGGGAAGGGAGACTTGGGTCTGTGGCCAAAGAACCCCACTGGTCAGGGTGAGTGCAGGGGAGAAGCTTGCAAAGGAGATGGAGTGATGTTGGAAAACAGGAGGAAGGGGAGTGTCCAGGAGACCAGGAGAGAAGGGTCAGTAAGTCCAGGATGAAGAACCGAATGGAAAGCTTTAGAGAGCACAGCACGGGTGACAGGAGCACAGGGAAGTGACCCTTAGAATTCCAGGGTTCAGTGGGGCCTTTGGGGAGAGTAGGGCGGAGGAGAGGGAGAAGACCATTCACAGTGAATCAAGCAGACGGTTGGAGGAGAGAAAGAGAGAACAGTAGGTGATTTTTGTGAAATGTTCACTGTAAAGGAGTTCAGAGAAGACAAGCAGGAGATGAAAGTGGGTAGGGACTCCCAGGAAGGTCTTTTTAAAGACTTGTTGCTTTTCACATTTGTGTGCTGGCTAGAGAGGCCAGCTAATCCTGCAGCCTGCCCGAGCCCTGGGGGAGAAAGCCTCTTGGCCTCCCGTTCTCCACTCCCCACAGGGCTTCCCTAGCAGGTCACCTGCAACTACTCCAGGGGTCTGTGTGTGGCTCAGTTCAGGAGCCCTGGTGTCCACAGCTTGCAGGGCTGTCTGCACGTGGGTGAAACCACAGGTGCAGGTGCCAGGCTGGCTGGGAACCAGAGATTGCCTCACAGTGAGAGCCTGAGGTGAGCAGATGGGAGCTTCTGCTACATGGATGGGATGTTGACCTTCCAGCTGGCAGTCAGGGCCAAGTTAGCATTCACTCACTCAGTCATTTAAGCAGGACTTTTTTTTTAGAAGTTTATTTATTCATTTTAGAATATCTGTATATAAATAAAGAGAAAGAGGCAGGGAACCCCAATAGCCAGCATCACAGGTACATCTAGTGTGTCAGGTGATTTGGGATCCAAACCCTGGACCTCCCCAGAGGGCTCCAGCATTGTGCAGAGGTGCCCCACTGCTTGTGCCTCCATAGCTTGATCTAAATAGTTCATTTGAACTGGGATTTAAATTGGGCCCACCCATTAGTTGTGGCATCTTTTAAATTATTATATATTTTGTCCCCTTCGTACTATCTTTGCCTCTTGTTTCAGGAAATCTGGTCCCCATGGTCCCAGTCCAGTTTCTTAGGCTGAAGTTTGTCCCTTGCACCCCCAGAATCCTTCTCTCTATTCTATCCTTGGGTTTTCTGTAACATGTATAATAAAATTGAAAAATCATAAGTCAAACCATCCCTAGGGCAGGACTGTCTATACATCACAGCTGACACCAGTTATAGCGGACACAGGGCAAGACGGGAAGCAGGGAGACTCACAACACAGGAAGGTGCCCGGGAGCAGGTGGGCATGGGGGACAGAGAGGCCACCCTAGAGCACAGGCAGCCACTGACACATGGGTACAACTGGTGCAAACTGCAGGAAAGGAGGCTGCAGGGTCCAGACCAGACTCAGACTGACAGTTTCCGCAACTGGGAAGAAGAGGACTGGCCGTCTCCCCAGCTACGTGGTCACTGTGTTCTGTGTGGATGGAACTTAGGCTCGGTTTGTGCTCTCAGAAATTTCAGCCTAGATGGCAGACACCGTTTATTATGTTTGGCCACAGAGCTGGTGTTTTTTTTTTTTTTTTTTTGTCATTCTAGAATTTGATTTATTACTTTAACAACATACTAACCAGAGTGGAAGGAAAAGACACCATTGGTCTCAGTGCCCCAGCAAATAGCTTTTTTTTTTTAGAGGTTTTTGCTATAGGGAGTGTGCACTCTCCAGAAAGAGAGACACAGAGAGTTATAAAGAGAGAAATCATCCCTCCAGCAAGTAAAGAGATAAATCATCCCGCCAGCAAATAGTCTTTCTTCCTGCTGTCCCCCTGTTCCTGTCCAGGTTTTTATCTTGCTTATTTAGTGTACCTTACTTAAATCACCTTATTTAAATCCTGCTATATATGAAAAGCCTTCAAAAAGTTAATGGAAACTGCAATTATGAAATGTATTATGAAAACACTTTATGGATTTTAAAATTAAAAATTGTTTTATTCGGGGACCAGCAGGTGGCATGGTGGTTAGGGGCACTGGACTCCCACATGACTGACCATGGTTTAAATCCTGGACCTGGCAGCTTGCTCTCTCACGTTCTCTCTCTCTGTCTCTCTCTCTCTCATCTCTTTCACTCTGTCCCTCTCTGGTCAAATAAAAAAAAAGTAAATAAATAAAGTTAAATAAAATAATTCTTTAAAAAAAGTTAAAAATTGTTTTATCCATGATAGAACACATGTAGGTGCATATGAGGGAGAAAGAGACAGACACCTTTATCAGGGTCCCATTGGGATCCCTTTCCTCTAGTCCTCCGGCCCATCAGATCTTGGCCACTTGTGTGGGTGCCCAGAGCTTCTCATGGCAGTTACCATGTGGGATCTGGCTTCTCTAGAGGAGTGAATCAAGATGTTTTCTATAGCAATGATATGATACTCCTACCAGCTTCCCTTGTGGGGACATTTAGATTGCTTCTAATACTCTCTGTGAAGACTAGAACTTTAACATCTTGGCATAATCACAGAGAACATTTTTACACCCAGTTTGATTTGATCAATAATTCAATTTGTGTGTTCTGTTCCCTTTAAAGAACACTCCCTCTGTTCTGATAATAGTACAGCTAAGACTTGCTTAGTGCTGTCTCATTTAATTCTTAAGGAACCAACGCTGATTCTGTGTTTTGTTTTTGTTTTAAGAAGACAAAGACAAGGCAAAGTAAGGTGACTTTTTTTTTACAAAGGTCCCAAAGCTGATTCTATACAGATGTCTGTGATAGAGGCTGCTTCTTACTCCCTGTCTGTCACCATCCTAATGCCAGGACACTCTAGTGGAGGACATCCCTGATGTCTAGGCCCTGTTTGGGAGCCACACACAATGCAGTCCTCCTGGGCTGCCATTTGCTCCCAATGTCCAGGGAACAGGCCACTGGCACTGTGACTCCTGGGGACCCTGTCCTTCATTACACACAGAGTCAAGAGCTGAGTAGAGTTTGAAAATAGTGCAGATATTTTCTTTGGTGTTTGAGGACCGGACTGGAAAATGGGTCTCCACTTCCTATGTGCTGACTCTCCTCCCTGTCCTGGGGTAAGGGAGTGGTCTTGGCTGATGCTGGGCAGAGGGTTGGTTCCAAGTCCCCTGTGGACGTGGAGGGGTCCAAGGCCAGCCCCTCCCCCAGTAGATTTTACCTCCCACCAACATAAAATTCCACAGGGAAGAGGCCTCATCTCCTGCTCACTGCCACATGAGTTCCTGTCACCTGAGTGGAGTTTGAGAACAGTGCAACTATTTTCTTTGGTGTTTGAGGACTGGACCTGGAAAACGACCTCCACTAATATTTGTTGGATCGAAAAAAATGAAAAAAAAGTTTGAGTGGTGGCCACACCTAAGTATTTTAAACAAAAGCAACCATCAGCCCAGCTCTGGTAACAGAGCACTCCTCTGCCATAGCAGTTCAGGACTTTGAGGATCTGGTTGGAACTATGCCCCTCCCTCCATGCACAAATGCACCTACAAGGTTTGGTACAGAACCCCCTGCAGCCCATCTGTAGATTTCCTGGTCCGTGGCTTCCAGTGTGAGAATCCTGTTCCTTTAGTGAGACTATAAGGTTGGAAAACAGTTATTTTTACCCTGGCCACTTATCTGAAAACAAAACAAAACCAATCAATCGAACAAACAAAAAAACATAAAACTCTGCCTTCAGGAATGCTATAGCCAGACTCCTCCACACTGCCAAGCAGAATGAGCTGCAGGATCCTGGCAGATAAGGGACC